AGCATTCAAAATCCTTTTCTTGACATAGAAAGAAAATTAAATATATATGCAAATAATTTGCGTCCAATAGGATTTGAACCTATACCAAAGGTTTAGAAGACCTCTGTCCTATCCATTAGACAATGGACGCTTTTCTTTTCATTACAATTGTTTTTTTATTTTTCTATTCGGAAAATAAGAATATGTGATCCGGGGATTGTGTATTCAATTTAATGATGAATTGCATTTCAATTTTTACATTAAATTAATTAGATAATTAGATTAAAGAATTAGAATGAATTAAAGAATTCTATTTTCTTTTTCGAATTCTAGTCTATTTTTTTTTAGTTAAAAACTAAATAATAAATAACTAAATTAATTAGTTTTAGTTATATATTATATTAATTTAATGTTAATGAATTAATTCTATAATATTAATTCTAGAATACAAAAATTTCGATTCGAATAGAATAAAAAGATATAATAGAAGCGGGTAGCGGGAATCGAACCCGCATCGTTAGCTTGGAAGGCTAGGGGTTATAGTCGACGTTGATTCATCATTTTGAACGTCTCTAATTCAAAACCGAACGTGAAACTTTGGTTTCATTCGGCTCCTTTATGGAAGAGATTAACAAATGGAAGACGTAAAAAAAAAATGCCATCCATAACATCTATGTCAGCCCTTCTGTCTGAATGCATTCAAAACATCCCGCTTTTTAGATGATCCCTCTAGAATCTAGAAGAGGCGGATTCTAACAATCTTTTTTTTTTCTAGTTACTTCGTTCTCTATTTCTATTTAAGAGAATCCTTAGGAAAAGCATTCTTCTTTCATCGAGCTAAAAAAAATATGTCGATATCTCTAGTAAACTAAAGTAATCGTTTAATAGCTATTTTGCTTCAATCTCTCCTATACAAATAAAAAAAATGGAAGATTTAGTTACGATAAAAAAAAAACCTTTCTATATCTTTCTCCATGGATCCTTTACTCATACTCAAAAAATTGGGAGTATTGATCCAATTCAAAAAACTTATGTTTTGTAATTTCATAATTCAATTTGTCAATTTCGAATTGATTCTTTTTGAATACAAATTACGATAATGTATATTATTCCTCGAATTGTTCGTTGAGAGGTAAAGGATTAAACCCTTTTAAGATAATAAATAAAGTTTTTGATCGGAATATGAATCAAACGAGGGATCCCTTAACTAGTAAGGGATCCATAGAACGAATCGCACTTTTACCACTAAACTATACCCGCTTCAATGCGATTATTGTATATAAATGTAACTTTTGTCCAACACCAACAAGGGAATCAGAAATAGGATCATAAAAGAATCATAAAATTTATAGTGTTGACGTGTTTCGTAAGGAGATCTAATGAAATTAAGAAAAGAGGACCCATTTTCTTTTTGGATTTTGTTTTGCTAAAGTAAAGGTGTTTTGACCGATACATCTCGACAAAACTACTTAAGTTATAACATAAAAATGCATTGTGCAAGAATCCTTAGTTCCATTCTTTTTTTCTTTTTTCTTTTAGATACTTTATCGGAAAAAGGGAAAGAGTAATAAGAAATGACATTCTTATGTTTGATCTTGTTTCAATAACAAGTATTCTTTTTTTCAGATCAAATAAATCATTTTTATCCAGAATTCATGGGAACAAAAAAGGCCCGGCCGGGTTAGTACCTAGCCGGGCTGAAAATCTTTTTTATTCCTTATTCTAGAATCTATAAATAGAATATAGAAAAAATAATACTTAATAATATTCTATTAGAATAATAAAAATTCTAATTAGAATTAATTATATTATACTAATTATTTATATTAATTTATATTATATTAATTTGATTATTTGTTATTTGATTTTTTATAATTAATAAATTCAATTAAAAAAATGAATTTGAATTTTCGAATTTCTAGAATTCATTTATATTAGAATATTTTTTATTTTAGATTCTTTATTACATTACTTAGATTATTTATTAGTATTAGATATTAAAAGAAGGTATTAGATTAGTATTAGAATTATTTATTCTATTAAATTATTCTATTAATAAGTAATAAGATTAATATATTCAAAAAGATTATTAAATTGAATATTATAATATATAAATATTCATATAGAGATAAGATAGAAATATGAAATTCAATATAAGAAAAAGAAAGAAAAAAAAAAGAAAGGGCCCTTTTCAATTGGGGAGAGATGGCTGAGTGGACTAAAGCGTCGGATTGCTAATCCGTTGTACGAATTTTTCGTACCGAGGGTTCGAATCCCTCTCTTTCCGTTTCCATCAATGATTTGGTATTTTATTTACCTTTTGAATTTATAGAACAGAGTCTTTTTTGTTTCTTTTTTTTGTTTGTTTGAATTTTTGATTAACTTTTATTATTATTTCTATTTTTATTATTATTTCTATTATTTTATTTTTATTTCAATAGAATTATAATCTTTTTTTATTATAGTTAATAGTTAAAATTGAAAGATGTAAAATGGATAATGGATAATAAGAATATTTCAAAATCAAGCACAAGCAAGGAAAACACAGAAAACAAAAGAATAAAAAATATGATTTTTTATTCTTCACGTCCCGGATTACGTCCTGGATCGTTAGATAGGAATCCGAAGATGAAAAGAGAAACAAAGAATATCACTACCGTGTAAACAAAAAGTTTTAGAGTAAGCATTACACAATCTCCAAGATCATTAAAAAAAAAGAAAGAGAATAGATTCTCCTATACTACACATGAGGATTCACACTGTAAAACTTATCTGATCTTAGAAATCAAAATTGTTAAAATGTTCGAATCTTTTTTTCGAATAAATTCTTAATTTTTCTAGGACAGTATTCAAATTAAAGATCTCATCGAAAACTTACAGCAGCTTGCCAAACAAAAGCTAAGAGAAAAAAGAGTACAGGTATTACTGGCATAATATCTACAATTGGATTCAAAAAAGCATAGGCTTCAGGTAATTTCGCGAAGAAAAAACTACTTGAATAAAGAGCAGAATTAATACAAATACAGACCAAACTAAAGATATTAAGCATAACAAACATTTTGTTCTTTAAGATAATTGTATTTTTTCTTTTTGTTTTTGTGAATTAAATTAATAAAAATTAAGTTAATATTATTATTAATATATTCTATTATTAGATATTAGAATTCTATTCTGAATTTTCTAATACTAATAAATGAATTTTCAATTTTATTTCGTTTTTTTTCTTTTTTATTAATAAAAAAGAAAAAAAAAAATAAAAGAAATAATAATAATGATAATGTGATAATGAATTTATTAATTAATTAATACTATTAATAAGAAATCACAAAAATGGAAAATCAAAATAATAATAATAATCGAATACGAATAAAAATAGAATATATATAATATATAGAATAAATAAATAAAATCGAATTAATTACGAAAAAAATGATGAATTAAAAAAAGTGGACCCCAAAAATCCTTCTTTGATTTGAACTTATCCAATTCAAAATCTTTCCATTCTGAAAAAAAAAAAGAAATAAAAGAAATCAAACTCTCATGCAATATCTTAATTGAATTCTATGTAATGATCAAGAATTTCAGTTTCATTCTATATCTAGACATATCAAAATTCTAGCAACAATTTATTCTATAGATATTTAGCTATTTGGCTATAGATATTTAGATATTTGGACTAGAATTGACGAACAACCACTATAAATAATAGTGTTTAGTAGTGTCGAATAGAAATGGGGCGTGGCCAAGCGGTAAGGCAACGGGTTTTGGTCCCGCTATTCGGAGGTTCGAATCCTTCCGTCCCAGAGTAGATCCATTCATGATATATATCATATCTGAATACAAATTTTATATCATAATAAAGATTGCCCTTCCCTTTTTTGAGAAATCTTTTGTTTAAGAGTATATAATATTATATTGGGTAGAATGTGATTCTTCTTTTTTTTAATGATTCGTCTCTAAATCGAGTCACTTTGAAAATGTAGATTCAAAAAGAACTTATTTTTTTTTTTTCGTGTTCGTGTTATTGTATATTCAAAATGTATATCATTATTTTTATTTTAATAAAAACAAATTTATTTTAATAAATTTCATTTTAAGAAAATATATTAAATAAGATTGTTTCTATTATTTAGAATTATTTCTATATATTGAATATTGAATTAATATTTATATATTTCTAAATTTCAAAATGGAATTGATTGAATTTGATAATCAAAAAAATCTTCTATTAAGATTTTGAATTCGAATTCAAAATCTTAATAGAAGATTTTTTTAAGTTTAAGAATAAGAATATTTCGAATCTCAATTTTTCTAAAAAATAAATAGAATAGAAATAGAATCTAAATTCTATTCCAATTTTTTTTATACTTCTTTACTTTAGAAATTTGCCATTCATATAGAAGGAAAAAATATGAATTATTATGTATCGATTGAATCAATGACTATTCATGATTTCAGAATTGAATCAATTACATGCCGGCTCCAAACTAGAGGAATGTTATGGTAAAACTTCGTTTGAAACGATGTGGTAAAAAGCAACGTGCGACTTGAAAGACATGATTACATTAGCCGTGGATTCTTACATCCACCATTTTTCTATTATATAGAAATGAAGGTGCTCTTTCTCGACATTGTTTGTTCTATTTCACTCGACTTTCTTTTTTTGGGGAGGAGAGAGGGTTTGATGATGGAAATAGTACATGATGGAGCTCGAGTTGATTCATTTCTCAGGGGCAAGTTTCTAGGGTTAGTGAAAATTAATAAGTTAGAACAACTTCGTAAGTATATTTTCGCTATAGAAATCGAAAGGATCCAATTCGAGCAAGTTTAAAAACAAAAGTAAAATTTGTTGGAATTGGTAAAACTAGTTCGATCAAAAGTGGATCTGGGGGAATCAACCATTTATTTGTATGATTCTTTGATGGAAAGAGATCAAAAAATTGGTATGTTGCTGCCATTTTTGAAATGATTAAAGATCCTCGAAATAATGTCTAAACCCAATGATTCAAGGAAAAGCTAACGGATCGTGGAACAAGTAAATACCGTTTTCAATTGTCTCAACAACTATATTAGACTGACTGAAGACGAAAAAAGGATTCTAAAGGAGACAGACAAGAAAGGGGGTAGAGACCGCTCAATAAATGAAATAAAATACCTAACTAAAGGTTTTGTTTTCCTTTGAGTTATTTGAGAGTTATCCAACTTGAGTTATGAGGTTGCGAATACGAGTGATTTCTTTTTCGGGAAAGAATAAGAAAAAAGTATTTAATTTAAATTAGAGTCTAATTGATTTGATGATTTTATGAATCTATTTGACATCATAATTCTATACATAGACATAATTTCTAATTTTCTCGAGCCGTACGAGGAGAAAACCTCTTATACGTTTCTAGGGGGGGTGTATTGTTTATCTATATCTATCCCAATGAGCCGTTTATCGAATCGTTGCAATTGATGTTCGATCCCGAAGAGAGGGGAGAGATCTTCGGAGAGTGGGTTTTTATGATCCCATAAAGAATCAAACCTATTTAAATATTCCTGTTATTCTATATTTCCTTGAAAAAGGCGCTCAACCTACAGGAACTGTTCAGGATATTTCAAAAAAGGCGGGTGTTTTTATGGAACTTAATCCTAATCAACAAACGAAATTCAATTTCAATTAAAAAAATCAATAAATAAAATAAAAAAAGAGGGTGTGGATGACTTTTATATAGATTTATATAATCCTTTTCTCTCTTATCCCCCCCCGCTCTCTTGTTCTATTCATACCTAATTTTTCCTAATTTTTGATTTCTTATTGCTGTTGCTGCCATAGAATGCTGTTTTTTTATAACTACAAAAATCCATTTTTATTGATTTTTTATTGATAATAGAAAAATGGGCAAATGAATAAATTAAGTAATAAATTAAGTAATAAATGAAGTAATTGGTTCTATAAATACATTATCCTCAATGAGCTGGTTTTTGTTAGAATTCTCTGAAGAAATTGAAAAAGAAAGGGGGTTAGGTTAAGCTTTCTCATTCTATTTATATTATATTGATTGAATTATTCTATTTTTTAATTCTTATTAATTGCGATCTCTACCTTTTTCTTTCATTTTTGCATACGCCTTTTTTGTATCTATATCGATTATTTATCTAGTGTTAATAAATTGCTTGGTTTTTTTATTTTCAAATTGGAAAATGAAATTCATTTAATACTTTAACCTTTAATTCTATTTAATTATATTATATATTTAATTCTATATTAATTATATATATATTCGAATTTTATAATCATTTGATTTTTCTTTTCTTAGTATTTCTTATTTTTTATTATTTTGATTTTATTAGAATTTGTAATTTGATTGAATTAAATTCAATTGGATTGGTATTTATTAAATTGTTAAGTTTTTAATTCGTTTATTTTCTCCATTGTATTCTTTTTTCAACATTAATATTGACAACAGTGTATCAACCAAATATAATCCGATCGTGAATAAATGGATCCGTTTATTCCCGTTCCATAGGATTTTTTTACTTCATCAAAACAAAAAGATGGATTCGTTGGATTTTCTGTGCTAGCAAGAAGAAAAGAAGTTCTTTTTTTTAATTAAAGAAATACCTTTTTTTGAATTGTTAATTAAAGAAATTCTTTTCTTTCTAATTTAAAATTACAACTTTATAGATAATATTTCTAAATAATAATATATATATAATTCTAATAAATAATAGAATATAGATATACAATAATAATATTCTAATCTAAATTAGAAATTCGAAAGATTAGAATAGAAATAGATTAAATAAAGATTTTTAAATAAATAAAATGAGAATAATGTATAACATAGGAGATAAAGAGGCGGTCTATAAATTGTTATTTTCTTTTTTTATCTGTTATCTGAGAAAATCTCTTGTATTTTAATCTGATCTGAACATTCTTATGTTCAGAATCGATTCGACTTCGACATTTAAAATATTTTTTCTGGATTTTCGATTTTAATGGAATATTTTTTTTTATCCAATCCAATTCAATCTTTTTATTTATTTTGATTGCGGTTGTATCTACATATCTTATTAGTTGATTTTTATAGTTTATTTTTTTAGGGTTGCTAACTCAATGGTAGAGTACTCGGCTTTTAAGTGCGACTCAAATTTTTACACATTTCTATGAAGCAATGGATTCGTCCATACCATCGGTAGAGTTTGTAAGACCACGACTGATCCAGAAAGGAATGAATGGAAAAAGCAGCATGTCGTATCAATGGAGAATTCTAAAAATATTTCATTATTATTGGATCGGGCCCAAATCCGTGTTTGAATTCTTGGCTCGCAACAAAATAAATTCACAGTTGAGTTGAATTAATAAATGGATAGAGTTTGGTGGCTCCAATTATAGGGAAACAAAAAGGAACGAGCTTTCGTTTTGAATTTGAATGATTACCCCATCTAATTATACGTTAAAAATCAAAATATTAGTACTTGATGTGGGAAAAGCTTTTCCCATGAATGGATTATTTATTTTTGTTATGAATCCTAACT